GGCGAGCACACGTGGTGGGAGGAGCCGGCCCCGTCCTCGCACTCCCATGGCAACTCTTGCAAATCTTGGCGGTTCCTTAGCATCCCGGCCTGCACTGGACAGAGCAGAGATTCTCCACTCGGGGGAGTTGCTCAGTGCGGACACAGGCAGGTGGCCCTGCCAGGACTGCTGTCCTTGCCGGCGCCAAGAGGAGACTAGCCCTGGATAGCCTGAAAGGGTCTGTGCTGAAGCCGAAATATGCCTTCCCCACCCACAATGTGCGCGCGTAAGCCCCCCCCCACCCCCTCCACCCCCGCACACACACTCATTCCTATCTCGTGGGGATGCTAAATCCCTTGCCCTCCAGACCCCGGATTCTTAAACTCTGGGGTCCTAGGAAGTCTCCTATATAGATACCTGGGCTGCAATCCCTCAGAGGCTTAAGAATCCTCACACATCTTAGAGAGGGCACAAGAACACAGGAAGGCAGGGGAAGGGGATCCTTAAAGAAGATTAGTAGGAAAGAAAAGGAGCTAGAGCTCTTTCCTTTCCCCAAAGCCCCCAAAGATGGGGCAGAGAAAAGGGGCTTTGCAGGCCTGGAATTAAAGGAGTGTGCAGGGCCTTTGGGGGCCCTGCCCGGGGAAGTTGCAGTGGGCTGAGAAGAGGCCAAGGGGTGTCAGCATAAAAACTATGCTAGTCTGAAAAACGATTCAATGCCACATGGTTCTCCCAGTTCTGCTCCAATGCTAGGAGTCTTCATGGCAAGTGCCACTTCTTTATTTAAGCCGACCCTTTTCAGAATGGTCAGGAGAGTGGGCTGATGTTATATAGGTAATAATTCCAAGTAAATCTTTTAAATACTCTATGGGGAATCACTGATTTATACCTGAGGAGAAAGAGTCCACACAAAGCACAATAGGCACGAGTGAGTAGGGGAGGAACACACACACACACACACACACACACACACACACTTTTTTTTCTAGCCAATTTAAGCTCTATCTATGTGTCAGGTCAACAGGCAGAATGTTTGCCAGCCTCTATCTTGACTATGTGCAGAGGGGAGAGGAGCAAGTGCTTATAATTGTCCCCTCCGTTGTGAACAAGATGACATTAAGTCCACCAATGCAATAGTCGTTCTTTTACAACAATTTAAGTGAAAAATAAGAATTGCAGTCTATAAAAGTACTAGATGACTATATAGGACAGCGGTTCTCAACCTGTGGGTTGCAACCATCGGAAAACACATATAGCATATCAGATATTTACATTACAATTCATAACAGTAGCAAAATTACAGTTATGAAGTAGCAATGAAAATAATTTTATGGTTGAAGGTCACCACAACATGAGGAACTGTATAAAGGGTCGCGGCATTAGGAAGGTTGAGAAGCACTGATATAGGAGGATATTTTTTTATAACCATGGGGTGGAGAAGGCTTTACTTAGCATAATAAGAAAAGTATGCAATTGATCCACATAGGGAAAGACACTCTGCTATATTGTCAAGTGAAAAAAAAGTAAAATGCAAAACCATATTAATAGTTTGGTAACACTTTTTGAATCCTATACATATGTATATGAATAAAAAATGGTTGGGAAGGACATAAACCCCTACCAGTAGTGGCACCTGGAAACTGAAATTGACAATTGAAACAATTAAATGGAGAAAAATATTCTTAACATCTATGTGCAAAAGAATGAAGTTGAACCTGCACCTCACATCATGTACAAAAATTATTCAAAGTAGATCAATCATCTAAATGTAAGAATTAAAATTACAAAATTACTAGAAGAAAACAAAGGCATAAATGATCTTGAATTGGGCAATGTTTTCTTATACCATGCCAAAAGCACAGACAACAAAAGAAAAACTAGATAAAGTAGATTTCAATAAAACAGTTTTAATGTGTGTGTGAACAAACACTATCAGGAAGATGAAAAGACAACTCAGAATTGGAGATCATATATCTGACAAAAGTCTAGTGTTTAAAAGATATAAAGAACTCTTACAACTCTAAGATAAAAAGACAAAGTAACTTACAAATGAGGAAAGAATTTAAATAGACATTTCTGCAAAGAAAATACACAAATGGTGGAGAAGTACATGGAAAGATGCTCAATATCATTAGCTACCAAGGTAAATGCAAGTCAAACCACAATGTAATACTCTCCACCCCACTAGAATAGTTTATAACAAAAGACAGACAATAACAAGTGTTGGCAAGAATGTAAAGAATATAGAAAACTTGGGGGGGGGGGAGGTGGGAAGAGATTTAACCAAAGAATTTATATGCATATATGCATAGCCCATGGACCCACAGGGTAGTGAGGTGAAGGCCTGGGGTGGGGTGGGAGCTGGGTAAAGGGGGGCAAAGGGGGGGAAATGAGAGACAACTGTAATACTCTCAACAATAAAAATAAGTTTAAAAAAACAATAAAAAATGGGGTCATTCAGAAAAAAATAGAAACTTTATTCATTGTTGATGGGAGTATAAAATATTGCAGTCACTGTGGTTAACAGTCTAGCAGTTCCTCAAAAAGTTAAATATAGAGTTACCATGTAACCCCAGCAATTCCACTCTCAGGTTTCTACCAAAGAGGGATGAAAATGTCCCCACACAGAGACTTGTATACAAATGTTCATAGCAGCATTATTCATAATAGCCAGAATGTTGAAACAGCTTAAATGTCTATCAAGAGATAAATGGAATAAGCCAGTCAATGAAGGAAAAATACCACATGATCTCACTCATTCATGGATAATAAAGACCATTACAAACTTTTGAACAATAATAGATACAGAGGCAGAGCTGCCTCATACTGATTGTCAAACTGCAGCAGGAAGGCCAGGGAGGGTTGGGGGGCAGGAGGGAGGGGGGTAAGAGATCAACCGAAGGACTTGTATGCATGCATATAAGCATAACCAATGGACATAAGACACTGGGGGGTAAGGGAGGCCAGGGGATTGTCAAGGGCGGGGGGGGGGGGGGGGACACATATGTATACCCTTTGTAATACTTTTAGCAATAAAAAAAGAGAGATAAATGGATAAAAAAAACTGTTGTTTATCCTCACAATGGAATATTATTTGGCTTTAAAAGGAATGAAATTCTGATACATGCTACAACATGGATGAACCTTGAAAATAATATAAGCAAGTGAATAGTTTAGTCACCAAAGTGTGGGGTTGGGGTTGGATGGAGGGGAACAAAAAGGGAGAAAATGGGAGACATCTGTAATACTATTAACAAAAAAATAAAACTTTAAAAAAATGATTACCTGCTCTGTCCAGGTAGCTCAGTTGATTGGAACATCGTCCAGTACACCAAAACGAAGTAGGTTCAATCCCTGGTCCAGGCCTGTACAGAAGGCAAGGGATTGATGTTTCTCTCTCACATGGATGTTTCTCTTTCTCTAAAATCAATACACATATCCTCAGGTGAGGATTAAAAAAAAATGATTACCAGGTCTGTGAAGCTTTGCCACATTCCCTGAACCAGATACCTTCTCTCCTGACCCTTTGTCCTATCTCCTTCATACTGATTCTCATCATGTGTTGTAATTGCTTGCAGGTTGAAGATTTAGATAGGTTCTGAGGACAGAAGAAATATCTTATTAAATGCTGCTTCCAGGACCTGGCATATAGCAGGCACTTAAAGAGTGGGTTAATTGAATGGATGAATAAAGTGATAGTAGATGAACAACAGTCCTTTAATTTTACTGTAGCTGCTTATTTGAAAGAACACTAAATGAGGTCAGGGTTCCTCAGGGCTAAGAAGAAAATGCATAGCTACAACTCAATCTTCCCCAATTTACATAGCACATTCAGATCCATTGACACTGAATTGCTCTATAGGGCAGTCTTTAGGGCCCTTGCCATAGGCCTTAAAATGTAAACTAACATCTTTGGAAATAAGGTCCTTTAGGATTTCATTAATGTTCTTGGATGAAGGCTAAGGGTAAATTAGCCTTATAACAAATGCCTCTTTCTAGTAACAGTGATAAGGTTTCACCTAATTTTCCTGAACCCTTAAATCTCAACTCTTCAAGGTAGAACAGAGGGAATTTTAGTGACAGGGAATATTATTTTATTACAGTAAATTAGGCATAGGTTTTGAGAAACTACAATCTCTGAAATGCTGAAAGTGGAAGGTGACAATCAAGTTAAAGGTATCCTGATTTGCTCCTTATAACCCTTGATTTTGAGAGGTCCCGCAGAATTCAGGAAGTCTATTAACATGTGAGAGGATTACCAACAAAAACTTACTTGTAGAGTAGGAATAATAGCAACCTCACAATTTGCATAGATTAAATATGATCATATTATAGAAAGGGCTGTATCAAGTTTCGTATTGCCTGCCCAGCATCTATATACTTCAATATTCCTATGGAGAATCTTCCTTGCCACACTCTAAATCCATGTGATTCAGACAAGATCGCCAGTAACCCTACACGACCCATACCTCCGATCTATCCAGGATGGGGATGTGACCCAGGCCTAGTAAATTAGTGTAT